TTTTTGGTCTTCTTTGGAGTTGCTGGAATATTGCTAAACTGGTCTTGTCTCTCTCTCTTTGTCACCCCCTCACCCCCTCCACCCCGTGGCCTCATCGTGGATCTCTAAAAGGGCAGTTGGAACCTTTAAACGAGGTGGGTTAATTCAATGAAATCATTGGGTCTGGCTTCTAATCAAGAAACGAACGCTTGCCTTTCGTTGTGGAGTCTTATGTGAGGCTGTGGGGATTTCTGAATATTAAACAATAACCGGATGTCGATAACGGCACAGTTTCGAAGCCTTTCTGTGGGAGGGAGATCCTGGCGAAAAGATGCTAAGTTGACAAGATAGATTCCCCCCCACACACACACACAACCCCCTACTTATTCCGTCTGATTTTCTCTGTTTATGTTCATGTCACGGAGATATTTTTTATATATATTTTTGCTTTGCTTTCAAGAAGACAATAACATTCATTTGTGTTTCGGGAACATACTGTATAGCCCTCACGACGTTGCGTACACCACCCACATGTCAAGAAAGAGTTCCCCATAAACTACAAAACTACCTGCAAATGTTTTGCTTGCTATTCACGGCTCCGGCGAGGTGGTGTTTGCTGTCGTTTGCGCCTGCAGTTAGTAAACAGAAGTGGAAAACATTTTGTTCCAAGCGTTCACAGCAGAGACAGACTTTGAATGTCATTTCTCACCAGGGATGGGCTGCTTGTAATTCGGGTGTTTTTCCTCTTCCTCCTCTCCACCCTTCCCGCATCCCCTCTCCCCCGCCCCCCTCCACTGCCCACCTCCCACAATGGCCTCAGGGTTTTCTTTCTAGAATCTCCGATCTGCTGCTGTGCAGATGGACTTGCAGGCACTGCTGTCAGAAGTGCTACGAGTCCAGCTGTTGCCAGTCGAGTGAGGATGAAGTGGAAATTCTGGGACCTTTCCCTGCCCAGACTCCTCCCTGGCTGTAAGTAAACTGCTTGAACTTCCTTGAAAGTCGTCTTAAGACCTTTTTTTTTTCTCTCAGTTTCTAAGAGGGGGGGTCCGGGCCACAGGAAGGACTGTTCGGGGTATGAAAGATGAGGACATGCTTTGTGCCTCTCCTTTTGTTTGGCAAGCCGGTGCGACCAGCTGGCAGTGGGCTTTTCAGTTCAGCCTGTTTCACGTCTTCTGAGATGTGAACTGTGTAATGCTAAGCATGTGGGCCCTTTTAATCACGGCGAGTGCCGTTCTAAGAGGGAAAAGAGAGCTGTGAGCATCTATATCCTTCAAGGGATGTACACATTCCAAAGGTTTCCATCCAAGTCGGCGTGACAGATTGTCCTAGCACCTGACCCAGTCGTTGGCACGTAGTAAATATTCGTTGCATGGATAGGTGAATGGGATGAGTAACCAAGTGCATCTTGGTTGGTCTGACCAAGGGCTTCAGAAATTGGAGAGCCGAAAGCACCTCCAGGCTCCATCCTGTCCCCCAACGCTGTTTATGTTCTCTCTGGCATCTTTCATTTTATTTCCAATTCGTTCTCCTCCCGCGCCCGCATACAACATCTCCATCTGCCAGTCGCTCGGATATTTTGGGAACGCAGTTTTGAAGCTTCTCAGCCACGTGTCTGGTCCACCTCTCTCTGTGGCTGGCAGAGGAACATGGCCAGAGAGTCTGGGTTGAGGCTGGCGGGCCTGGGGACCATCGAGTTCAGCTTCTCATGGTGCAGAGGGGGAGGCCCAGGGAGGGAGCGAGACTGCCAGGGCCCGCAGCTGGAGCCTCCGTGGGGACCCAGTGCTGTCTCAGCTAAATACTTGGGCTGAGATGCCAGAAGCCTATGGTACCCCATCTTTCCCTCCATATTGGAGGTCATGCCTCAGTCTTCTCGTTTTCTCTTCCTAGAAGCAAGTATTGAATATTTCCATAACAAGATGGTTCTATGTCAGGCTCTGTGAGTTCAAATCCTATTTCTCCTACTTTTTTCTAGTTCTGTGACCTTAGGCAGGTTGCTTGGTCTCTCTGGGCCTTGATTCCCCATCTGTACAATGGAGATGATAAAAATAATAGCATGGATCTCATAAGGTTGTCGTGGTGCTTGTACGAATTAGTGTATGGAAAGGGACTTGCTTGCCGTGTGGTTGGCAGTCCTAAATGTAAGTGATGCTTTTTACCGTTTTGGTCTCGGTTTCCCTCCTCCGCAAAGTAGGAACAGTGATAGAACTTATTTTATAGGGTTGTTATTAAGAGTCATGGGATATGCATAAAACGGTAGTAAGCATTCATATCTATCACTATAAGGTATTGAGAGAGGTTCTTTAAACTGACGTAAAGGTGATGTTAAGGAACTCCTCCATTATTCGTAGGTCGCAGCCTGAATGCTGCAGGTGTGGGTAGAGTCGAGGTGTTTGGTGAATCCAACTCATTAATCAAGAAATCATGTCCGTTTCCCAGTGCCCTGTATGACAGAGGTTGGCATAGCCAGGTTCTTTAAAGCCATGCTCACAAGAATGCCAACTCTATGAGGGTAGGGTTTTGGGTTTTTTTTTTTCCCCCTGTCTTGTTCATTTCAAAAAACTAGTTGTTGACCAGCATACTAACCTACAGGCAGAAATTGAATCCTGAAAGTGCCAATCATCCCTCTGAAAAGTTCATCTCAGTTTCTTTGCTAGTTATTTCTGAGTATGCCCTGCAGTCACTATGGGATGCCCAAGGCTAGATAGAGTCCTGTTACTATACTCCAGGGACTTAAAGTATAGTATAGGAGATAAGACGGGTCCCTAAATCCAGTCACCCCGAGAGCTGTTCATTTATACCCTGCATATGCGTATGACAGCCCTGCATAGAGTTGATTTATGGGAAAATCCAGGGGAACTGGCTTCAGGCAGAGCTGGATCCAGCGGCTCAAATAATTCTGTGGGTATGCACTCATGTGCTTTCTCTCTTTTCTTTCTGTTTCTTTCTCATTTTTAAGCTCGATTTCTTCTTCGCTTCATTCTTAACGGCAGCAAAAACACCAGGAGAGGGTCTCACTGCCCTGGCTTGGTGTAAATGAGTCGGTCGCTAGATCCAATCACTTTACCTTGGAGGAAATGATGCTAGGACTGTGCCTGGATTGCCTGGTCATCCTGGAAGCAGAGAAGGGGTCATTCCCACCTGCAACACAGGAACTAAGCTAGTAGGACAGGGGTTGGCACACTTTTCCCATAAAGGGCCAGAGAGATGAAATATTTCAGCCTCACAGGCTTAGTCTCTATTGCGACTACTCACATCTGTCTTCGCGGCACCGAAGCAGCCATAGACAGTACGTTAACGAATGGACGTGGCTGTGTTCCAGTGACGCTCCATCTACAGAAATCAGGCAGCCATGTGGCCCCGCAGTGTGCTGACTTTGTAGCAGACAGTTTGGGTGTTGTGACTGGATCCAGGGCAGACAAAGCCGACAAGCAGACATGACGTCTCGGAAAGGTTGGGGGGATCTTAGAAAGCGAACCTACAGGTTCAGATAAGGTAGGGTCTTGAATGCCAGCTTAAGGAATTCGGATTTTCTTCCTACCCCGTGGAGACCCCGATGAACACTGAAAATCACAGTTTGGGTGTCTCGTTGCCCCCAGGGACCCAGGTGGTGAGTGTTCCAGATGCACGGCTACTGAGTAGGTGGACAGAGTGCTTTGACCAGGCTGCTGACCCTTCGTGCTAGCAGAGGACTTCTTCTGGGGGCAAGGGGTGTGACCTTCTGGGAGAAGCTTCTTTTGGTTTCGCCGGGAGCAGAGGAGTGGGCTGGAAACGTCTCCGCAGAGCTGGCGGCACACAGCTGCGGGAGACGCCGTGCACTGGGCGCTTATTGCCAGTGGCTCCACCTGGAGTCGTGCAGTCTGCAGCCTGACCGCGTGCCTCCCAGGACGGCCCAGGTGTTCCTTGAATCCTGGGCGGCGCTTAGTGCATTTTTGGCACTCAACGTGATGTAAAATGTTAGGAGAAACCGGTAAAGGGGAGGCGGGTTAAACCCTTCGGAAAGCGAATTGACAGCTTGTGCTTTCCCCAGATTTATTTACCACGTGGGCAGTCGCATGTTATCAAACAGGCAGGGAGGAGAAATGTCAGATGCACGGGCTTCGCAGCGCTGTTCCTACTGTGACATTTGAGCCAAGAACCACAGGCCATACTTCTCATCCGGCCGGCAGATAAGCTGGCCCTTTTCGTGTGTGATTTTGGGGAGCACCGTTGCCACATAGGGTTCTGTCATGTAGGTCCCTAGCCTTCCTCGGCTGGGCTGGCCTGGTGAGGGTCAGGAAAGCTGTATAATCTGACTGGCTCCTTTTGGGGCAATGCCAGAAAGACCCTCACTGCAGAGTGAATTAAAGTCAGGGTGTTTGTTTGTCCAACAAGCACGTATTGAGTGCCTACTGTGTACAAAGCTCCAGAGGCCTCGCAGGGGATGCCCAGCCCAGAAATGTGGAGCTGTGACCCAGAGTCTGGCACTGCTCGACTCAGCTGGGGCTCAGCCCTGTAACAGTGATGCCAATTAATTATCCATCCTCCCCGCCCCACCCAGGGCTTCGATGTCTCCACCTGTGAAGGGAGCGGGGACTGTTAGTAACTAACTCCTGGATTGTCTTAAGGGTGAAATGTGATGGCTCATACAGAGCATTTCGCACAGTACTTGGCACATAGTAGGTACTCAACACCTGGTACCTCTGCTCATAGTAAGTACACATCTCACCATTAAGTGTACCTTGGTATGGGAGGTGTGACAAAACGTACACTCAGATCATTATGACCCAAGATAAATCAGATGAGAACCGCAAGAAAGGTGTCTTCATTCATTCATTCATTCATTCACTGAGGAGATAAACGTGGTATACTGGGGCAAGGTTGGCAGTGGTGACTAGGAAAGACACTGTCATTGCCCGTGAGCTGCGGCTTGGCGTCAGATGGCGAGGAGAAGCAAGCAGGCCCCGACTAGAGATGAGTTATGTGCAGAGTTGACGAGGCAGAAAAAGAAGGTACAGTGATAAGGGCTGTTGGGGGCGGGAGGAGGTCAGGGGGATGAGTCGGGGCCTTTCTGGGGAGGTGCTGTTGAAGCTGGGAGCTGAAT